GCGTGCGCCGGTGCCCTTCAAGGGGGGGGGGGGTTCCGGGGGGCCTCCCCCGGGAAAATGTTCAAAAAATGAAGCAAAATCCTGCATTTTGAGCGAAAAAAGGGGGGTTCGGGCCCCCAGGAACCCATACGGGGCACGCGCCTGGTTGGTACAACCCTCCGGTGAACGGCGCTTTGCACTGTTTGCCAGTTCAAGCCAGTATGACCTGTTACACCATGTCATGGTATGTAAACCGTACCATCGTGTCGTACTGGATAGAGTAGTGCCAGCTACAGTAAAACCTGTGACTAACGACCACCCTGTGGGTCCAGAGAAAGCGGTCTTCAGTGGCAGGTGGTCTTTAGTTAGAGGTTTGCACCACACAACCATACCTGAATGTGAGACCGTCCATCCGTGCCTGGCGAAGTGGATTGTAGAACCAGGCTTCCCGCTAGTCACGGTGGTCTTTAGTTATAGGTTTTACTATAGCTGCACACTCTTTGAGCTATGGAATCTTGATTTTGGAGATACTAAAATTGTAGATGTGAATTCGCTGTAGTTGATCTTTTAGACACTCCCAAATGTATTTGACTCCACCACCAACTAAGACTAATGGAGGTTGTGCTCTGCAAGACATTTTCTCTCTCACACAACAATTGCATATCCGACCAATGACTTCAATAGGGGATATCAGTATTTGAATGCATTCCCATTTCCGTGTGTTGTTTTCTCTCTATTCCTTGCAGCCCGCAAAGTGGAGCCAAGAAAGGCTACAGCAGACAAAACAGCCTCAGGTGAAGAGGAAGCTGAGAACACCGACCCATGTGGCATCCGGAAGGCCGTGAAGAACGGCAATCAGATGATCGTCGCCGCCGTTGTCTTCCTGTTCATGATCACCGCACTTCTCCTGGCTGCCCTGTATTTCCTATATCGCCAGTACTCCAAGATCAGCACCTATGATGTACGTTCCATGATTCATCGTAACAATGCGTTTTCAGACGGTGACGTGTCCAGCAGCAGTACTATGAGGTCAACACTACCTGCACCTGTACCACCGGTAGGTTCCGTGCACACACATATATGCACATACATATAATACAAGTGCATGCACATGCATACACACACATGCACACACAAACGTATACACTCACGTACGCGTGCGCACGCGCACACAAACACACACACACACACATACACACACGTGCACACACACACGAGTATGCATTGAAGCACTATTAATTTTAGAAATGCACGCACAAACATCTTGTGTTGTTTGTCAGCAATTATCACATTGCACCCTGGTCACTGCAACCATATCAGTGCTCCGTACAATCTCGGATCTGTCAATGCATGCACAATGTACACATTTTAGTCTGTGAGTAGGACAATTATCCAACAAGTTGTTAGTTTCTCTAGTTGACTGTTCAGCGGCAGACCCAGCGATCTCCACAGGGGTTCCAGTATAGTCAAAACTGAATATCTGATACATGTACATGGACAAGCATATGGTTGCCAGCAGTACATTTACGAAATTTAGGGGGTTCCACGGAACCCCTGGAACCCCTGGAACCTCTCCTGGATCCGCCCCTGCTGTTTGTTCATGGATTGATTGAGTAAGTCTTATGTTCTCACACCTCTTCTGTGTTTTCGGGTATTGTGTTTAGTCTCAACCCTGGTCCATGCCGGAGAGTCCCGGTCAGAGGAAGTCCTATCGTATGAGCTACAACACCGCCGACTCCATGCACTGCCACCCGATACGCGAAGAGGTGATCGACGTCGACGATCAAGTCGACATGACGTACACGTACCAATGCTGAGCGGGACGGTGATCATTGACTCCAGTCGACTGGAGACGGTCTGTGTTCTTGTCAACGGCAGTACTGGTGGCAGGCGTAAGACCTAGCTAGGGCTAGCTGGGGTAATGCTGGCCAATCGGAACCGGTCCGGCTGGTCAGGTCATCGCCGGATCAACTTGTTGACCATCAACACATGTTTACCGCTGTGGAAATTATTGCGTGCACCCGCTATATTAACTATTATACACAGAGTACGAAAGACTATGGCATGACTGGACCGATCTAGAACTTCATCCGGCGGTCCAGTAATGTGAGCTGTGCACTGCAGTATGCGGTCACGGCCGAGAAGACTTGAGAGTGTGTGCATGCACACAATTATTGTGCATGCCAGAGAGAAACTGAGATATCATACACGACTGCATGTCTAATTGTGCTTGTTTTTGTTTTGTTTAACCGTGATAAGTCAATCATGCTTTTGCAGCTGTATTGCCCAAATTACGCTCACCATTATTTACTAGTGCAAGGTCAGAACTGTTCCACAAGGGGCAAGATCTCATAATAATTATACTTATCTTTATACCAATTACTCACCATAGTCAATTCCCTTTGAGGTAATCCCGCTTTTCATTTCCATCTGCAAATTTTCTCATATCATCGCGGAAGTCGCTACCACAAAAGAACTGAGCTGTTAGGTGATTATATTGCGGCTCTAGCCGGGCTCGAGTACCATGCAGCTGATAGTACTGACTACTGGTGCCGTGCCAACGCCTCCACTCAAATGTATGTGCATGCCAATACAGTGTTGTTATGCGGGCAACGATACTGTGGCTACTCTTTGCCACCCTACAGTATAGTTCGTATGTAAAATGTACTTACACGGCTTGGTCAGCCGCTGCTCACGAGACCAAGAGTACAGTCAACTTCGCGTATAACGACACTCGGCGGGGCATCAGAAAAGTGTCCTTATTCGCGAAGTGTCGTTATACCCGAAGTCCCATTATATGTATTACAGTTGGATGTGACTTTGCTCTGGGCATGAACATTCTGTCGTTATTCGCGAATTGTCGTTATATCCGAAGTCGTTATTAGCGAAGTTGACTGTACATACTAATCTGGCTATGCACCCTTGACGAGACCTTTGGCTTTGGTGCCCGGGTTGGTCGATTTCCACCTATCCCCATACATGAAGTGCATAGTTAAACTGATTGCAGACTGCTGAGGCAGCACTGTACATGTCAGATGCCTGATATTAGTTTACAGAGATGCCTTAGTAGCTAGCCCATCTAGAGAAGGTGGTACTAGTGGAATTGCTGTTGAAAAATTCGAGTAAGTTTGGATCAATGCGATCGTGCACATGGCGCGCTGCGCATGCTCAGTCAGGCACCAATGGGTGATTTAAAAGACTTTGGGGGGGGGGGGGGGAGGTAGCTAGTAGCGTAGTGGAGTCTACCATGGAACATATTTCGAAGCTAACTACAAGGAACGACGGTACATGTACACGTATTCTGATTGTACATGTGACTCCATTGTACTGTCCAGGAAATGTCTGTACACCATTGTACTGTCCAGGAAATGTCTGTACACCGCAAATTGCGCAATGCCCAGGTGTTGCCTTGCTGCATGCATCTCTCTGTTTGTCCCGTGGATTTGTGCACTGTCGACATGTCGGTGCCAACACCCCACACACAGTAGTCTATTAGTGTACTCTGTGTGTGTGTGTGACAGTAGGGAACTAATACTAATACTAGTAGGTAACACTAACTTAGTCTTGTAACCAATACACGTGATGGCTAGCGCTTAGCAGGTGCTATGTAGGTACTAGGTACATGTAAGTCCCATCCATGAATGATTCAGGTCGTTTTCAGCGTGTGGGGCACCAGGGAGTCGTGAATTATTATTTGCTGGTGCATGATTGTATTCCACGACTCTCCACCGATCACTGATGATGTCAGCCTGCATAGTACACTGTATCACAAAGCAAGAATCATGCAGCAATGGCACTTGGTACAATCGTGTACTTGCCCAAAACAGCAGAGCGAGGTACACCAAAGACTATTAGTATTAAGTCCATGGCCCGGGAGTATTGTACACTACATGTCACATCATGTCATGTAAATGCCAGCAATCGGACCAGGGACTGTGGAACAAGCTAGACCGTACCTAACAATCATGTGCATTTCAAAATCAAACCTTGACGTCTCTAGTGTCTACACTTCCGTTCCCAGCAGTCACCGACCATCACCATGATCACTGCATCAGCATTCATCAACAGTTACATGACTGTACTGTACGTATCTAAATAATAGCGTGCACAGAGTCAGTGCACACCCCCTCTTTGCATACAATGACGTCATGTACATGTATCGCTACGGTCAACTAATACTTGACATTCCCTTTCTCAGTTCTCTTCCCGACTCGCCGAGTCGGTCACAGTAAAACCGTGCCTCTTCGTTGTCGTATTTCCCTGTCTCCGGTGGGTTTAATCCTCGGTCCCCTCTCTGTCGACTTCATGTGAGAAGGTCTGTTTTCCTGTTTGTTGAGGCGATAGTAAAAATATTCAATAACAACAAAAACAACAAGCATGTGCAACTTTTATCCTTTCAGCGTAGACCTACTAGTTTTTTAAAATATATTTATTTTATTTTATTACTGGGAACACAGCCCTACAAAGAGACATGTGGAGACAACACGCAAAATAAGGGGGAGGTAGGGACGACTAGTACCCGATGGAACCCGTGGTCGGCTAAAAAAACCTTGCAATCGCCACGCAAAGTGGTCATTGGCTACCCCAGCTATGTATTGCTTCATTTGCTTGGAATAATAAAATAAAAAATCCGCCGTCGTCCAAGTCGACAGCGAGGAGTACCTGCATGTGCACACGCTTCTCCGTTGAGCTGCTAGCTGACCGATACTCGCCCCGATGTGTTCTGTACATATTTTTTGTTTTGTTTTTGTTGTTTTTGTTGTTTTTTTACTATTGAACACTCACTGCATGATGAACTAAAATGAGGAGGAGAACTCGACACAATGGTACATATCCAGCAGGACGGAGTGGGTGGGACCTGTGAAGCTCAGCCGACCAAGGGTTGTCGGCATCACAGCTGCACATGTGCACCAATGTAATTCAAGTAACAGAAGACTGAAGTTAATTTAAACTCAGGTCGCCATTGTTCAGAATCATCAGTAGAGTCAAGTAGCCCTTGGCGGATAATTGCTGGTAAGATTTGGTAGATTCTACTGCGAGAGCAATGAAATTGGCAGAACCATACAAACCTTATGACAGGCACTTCCTTGAATTATGCTCCATTTCTTCATCCACATACCAAACATGCATGAAACTTACCAGAAAATGTACCAAATTCTGCCAATGTTTCTGCCGACGTTATTAGCCAAGGCAAGGGCTAGAGGTAGTAGAGCGACGCGGTCACGCCATTCACATGAATGCGAAAATGTTCGACACGCATATCTGGATATACATTACTGGTCTACGGCCAGTGAGGCTGGGTGCAAAGACGCAGTAGCTGGGTGCGAGGGTACATCATGTACATGTAACATGGTGCAACCCTATGACTGCTGCTTGCCAACGAGAAGACATAGTGATAATCACTTGGGTGACTGGGTGTGATTGTTACATGTACATGTATTACTAGGATAACACACTTACACATTCCAACTTTTTGCTTTAGTGTAGCCCTGAGGTTGACTCGCATAATTTTCTACCCTTCCTCTCTCCGTATTTCTGTCCCCTCCCCCGTTACCGCCCCTTCTCTCTCTCTCTCATTCCCTGTATCGTTCACATGTATCAAAGGAGGCGAAACCGCGTTTGTGGTGCGACGTTAAAATAATAAACTTCTACATAATAATATACAACAACACCACAACGGCAGACATGCTGCTAGTCCAAAGTGCTCATGCTCATGATGCACTAGACAATTGACGTTTCTTTTCGTTCGTCTAAACCTTGACCATGATTCCCCTATACATCTAGTGTGTGTGGGGGGGGGGGGGGGAGGGTTCAGATCTGCAGGTCTCAATCAGTCCAAGAGCACATTACAGTGTACTAAGTATAGCCACAAAGGCACACACTGTTCGCTAGCCACGTCGCTGTGTTGCTATGCCGCTAGGTGTGTCCTTGCTGACCGGTAGTGGAGTGAGGACCTGTCCACTGTCCCCGCCAAGGCCTTTAAGGAGACGTTGCCACAAGCCATCCAACGTGGTAAACCTGACACAGTCACTGAGTGTATTATGCATTCACTACACTAGCTATACGAGTCCTCATGATCAGTCCTATACACATTGTACAGAGGGGGGGGGGGGGGGGGGGGGGGGCTCCGATTCTGATGTCCCCTGAGTGCGTCCGCCAGTCAAAGGCAAACGCCATTACATGAGTGTATCATCGGTGCTAAAGACACCGAAGGTCGGATCCCTGCATGGCTTGTCATCTGCCAACGTCTGTCCGTCCTTTTCCATGGAAGATCAGTGTCGGAGGGAGTCATCGGGAGAGACAGCATCGTTCATGTATTCGGCAGGAGAGAGATGCAGGCGGTGCTAGGTGCCGAGAAGGGTACTTGTGCATTTGGTGGAGGTCGTATGCCGGGGCATGAATAATTAATTTATTGTAGATGTAATTAAACACAGTACAACATCACAGTGGATCAAGCGTCTCATTATGACATTGTGGCAACGGCTCTGAGGTTCATGCTAAAAACAAATAGACCAATCGCTGTGTGCCCCTACATCACTGGAGCGCTTTCTGCACACTGGCTCCATCCTATGATCTATAGTAGACATACAATCATGTACTGGAGGGTTACATTGTACATGTACTTCGAAGAATATGATAATTGCATCGTTGCATCATTGCATCATCTTGATATTGCATCATTGCGTTCTCGGAATCCGACGTACACATCTGTACCAGTGGCAGTGGTCCTGTATGAACTTAAGTTGTGATGTCTCTCCGTCTCACTCAACATGATTTCATAAAGATATCTATACAAGAAATGTCATCCAATTGCAAGTCTCTCCCTCACCTTTCTATCGTGAGTAGTTCTAGCAATGAAGCCGAGACGGTCTGTTGGCTGAGCTTCGTCTGCCCCACTGGCCCAGACAACTTGTGTGACTCCTACCATTAATGTTCCCGCTTTTCCTGCTTCCTTTCATTTCATTGTCCTTGTTCCCGTTTGCTCTTGCCTGTATAACTTGAAGAGAAGGCAGGGAAATTGACTCGTGAAATGGTTCAGTATGGTGCTGAAGAACCTGAGGTTTGGGCTCTTACTAAGTGTTAGAGCTTCTTTTTTTGTCTCCGAGGAAATTTTTAATTCATAGCCAGGGTTGGGTTTGACGGAAAAACAAATCATCATGTCACTTCTGACCAGCGGGAAAGAAAGTGCACAGGAACAACACGCTATTGGCAAATTTAAAAGCTTTAAAAACAGTGAATGCTGCTGTCAGAATGGCTTCCGTCGCTTTAGTCCATGATTGTAGTGACGCGAGAAGGCCTCTTCCACGGGCAACGCGCAGCCCAATCATTACCATGTATCAGTACAGTGAATAGTTAAACCCAACACGAATGAAAAACAAGAAATAGAATAACAGCAGTGACGTGTGATGTTTATCACGATGGTCATCGCTCCAACAGTTATCACGTCATCAGCGCTAGCTGTGCTGGGTATACTGCGCCGCATGTCGGGCTAGCAAAGCCTAGGTTTAGCGCCAGACTGTGATTACTAGTATCTCGGTTGTGCAATACCGTTCAGCATCATCAGCTTTCGCACTTGTACGAATGATGGACTCTACATGATCTCACGCAATGGAATGGAATGCGACAGGTAGATCTACCCCCAACACTGCAACAGCACTATCCTTGCACACCATTCGTCTTAGACAGGGGTATCTTCACCAGTGCTAGCCGTGGCCGTATGCCATTAGGCATTACTGTTGGTATTGGTATTCTGATCTAATCACCATCACCTTGGTAGGACTTCGCTATATTTTCAAACAGCTCTCTGTCTGTCGCCCAGGACAATCCTGCGTTTGTAGACCTGGACACGCACATTGCACTGTGCCTCGCTGCCCTCAGTGGATTCAGGTCTTCAGAGTCAGTCTCAGCACTATCGAGTATCGACTGTGGCTGATACTGTAGGGCATCTCAAGTGACCCATGGAGTGAGCGCGGCTCGATAAAGCCCGTAAGAATCTTATCCCCAGCCACCAATTCCAAATTCGGCTACGTCCCGATCGGAAGTGTATTTGTCTCTGGCGGACTCTCTGTGAATATTAGTCAACCGTGCAAAAGCCCAGGGTTTGTAAACAATAGTGCCGTTGATAAAAAAAACGATGCAATCGAAGAAGAGGCGCTTACAAAGTTACATTCTTCGTTCTGCTCAAGTGCATGGTTGTGTTCGTGAGAATGCTCCCGCTAAGGACGGATACCACAGCTAACCTGTTATGTGAGCAGGAAAACGATATTGTGGCTAGATAAACTAAACCTTCCTGTCCAGGAACAGTCCACCTTTGCCACTAACTACCCTAGATCGTGCATGGGAAACGTGTCGGTCATCGGGTTGCTGCTATTCGCGACTCCCAGGCTGAAACTATGCAGTAAAACTCGACGTGTTTGCTTCTGCCAGATCCCGTGCCTTGGACTTTAACGTCATGATCCTCATGAAACACTTTCTCACCTGCGTTATTGCAAACTGCCTCTCCCATCCATCCTCTCCACAGTCTGTCCACCTCTCTATTTGAGAGAGGGTCGTCGTACATGTACATTATGTTGTGAGGGATTAGCATCCGCACGAACCTTAGTTATGTCATTGAATTTATCATGACTTGTAGTTGCGCAACTCTGAGTTTGCGAGTTCAGAAACGCCCGTGCATCATACAGCAGTACGCCTCCCTTCTTTTTTTGGAATTTTATTATGATTACCCAGAGGCTCTACTCTAGGCCTGTCCAGGGTATCTCCTATTCACATGAATAATTATCACGTACATGTACTCATCGTATCATCATGTATTCGGAAAGAGTGCAAGAGTACAAAAAGGAAAACAAAGAAAAGAAGCAAACTAACTACAGTAGGGCATAGAGCAGTAGGCGTTGGCGGATTCTGCTCGAAAACGTGGCGGATTCTGCTCGAAAAGCAGTAAAATTGGCAGAACCATACAAACCTTATGGCGGGCAATTCCTCGAATTCTGCTCCATTTCTTTATCCACATACTAAACATGCATGAAACTTACCAGAAAAAGTACTGAATTCTGGCAATTTTTCTGCCGGCAGAATCCGCTGGACCCTATAGAGCAGTATTTGCAGCAAGGACCTGGCCTACAGGCACTTTGGCGTTGAATGATAATATTATACAATAGTATGGTGTTGCCCAATGAAATCCGACCGCGTGGCTCAGGTTGGCACCCTGCACCAGTTCACATTGCAGTGTTCGCAGTGTAGGGCTGCACAGCACCCGGTCACGTGGTGTGACATAGGCTAGCTTGATCGGATTTCATGGAGCAGCACTGTAGAAATCATGTTTGTTTGTTTTCGAAGCAGAAAAACAATTGAGTGTACGTTCAGACTGAATGGCTTTAGCAATGCAGAAGTGTATTGTTCAGTGCAATCATAGTCAGTACTGAGGAATACTCTCTCTCGCTGTGGGTCGAATATAGACAGCTTGTTTATGAGTGTGTGTAGCTTCTTCTATTGCCAATCACAATTCAACGCGGCTACGACCAATATGGTTATGGGTGATACATACATACATACATACATACATACATACATACATGTACATACATACTGTACATACTGAGGTATACAAATTTATATGGGATGCTGTAGGTATCCGGCCGCAGAAAGCGAAGTCTATGTTTAGCTAAGTATGACGCTATAACCTCCTGTTTCTGTACCCTATCTCATTACGCCAGCAATAGCCTTTAGTATAAACAAGCACTTACGGGCAAGGACACACCGCACCGTCGACCCGAGGGTAGCCATCGCTAGTCACACACTACACAGGCCACATCCTGCATAATATGCTAAAAGAGACTACACGCCATCGTGCGGCCGACAGTGGTGATTCCGCTATCCGTGCGTGCATGCGTGCGTGCATACTGAGATCACAGGTCGAGTGTAGATACTAGATAGTCTAAAGCACAGCTATGTACGTCCATAGCACGCATGGTGCTTTGCGGTAGATACAGAAAGCCATCTAGCGACCCGATGCCTCGGAACTGATTGTAATTACATCTACGTAACTAACTAATATTAATGACTGTACTGAGTCTATGCGGCCACGATAAGTGGCCGAGCTTGAGAGGATGTACCGACCAAAGGTCTCGCTCGGTCTTGGTTGGGGAATGCGATGATGTATTGGGGGCTCGCTTATGGATCCTGTGCTGTGGCAGATCTCCATCTTCGCTGTGCTAAGCACAGGCATATTGTTAGTATGTTGGATAGCTATTTGCCTGGAGCAAGCGCCTGCAGTCTATCGAAACTATGCGTGTGGACGGTGGATGTCGGCGGTGGTAATCGCGACAACTCGAGAACTAGCATACCCTTAACTGATCGTGAATTTTTAATGACTGCGTGAGCGTGTCGATCGCCGGCCGCTGGTCTTTAGAAGAGCGGAGCCAATTCCTCCACTGATCTCACACACACTGGCGTGTTTTCCGACCTTGGTCAGTCACAAAACACAAGCAAGCATTGAATTTCCTACGCACAATTATACGTTCGAACAGCATAGCGACTGTCGGGACTATGCTCAGCAGCGCCTCCCCCATTGGCTGACTTGTAGGGAGATAAAGTTATCGGCGAACTGTCAGCAACGTAAAGAATGAGAGACGTGTTTTCCACTGATACGAGCAGCAGCTCACTAGTAGAGCAGGTTAAATTTGACCACCAGCTTCTTTATCGTGGCCCTCAGCACACTTTCGCACCCGCGCGCATTGGTTTGTTTTGCAGCCCGCCTGGCAGCCAGCGAGAGGATCAGCCATCCTTTACCGTACTCCACCAGCCAAACAGCCAGCACCAATATGCTGATCCGATGGCGCAGGGAAATGGAGATAAGAATCGCGAGGACGTTCCAGAAACAGATAAAGAGCAGCAACAAAAGCTGAGAGGCAACACACAGCAGCTCAGAACAGCAAAGAGTCTCCAAAGAGGAAGTCCACTGAGAAGAGAGCTTCTTCTTTTCTGTGCTTTAGCAGATAACCTGTAGTGAGAAAGGCTGTGCCTGAGATCGAGATCGACGCGAGCCAAGCTCACACCTGCAGCCCACAGCTAGCTGGAGAGTAAATGAGACGAGTCCTGTGATAAGAAGCTTCACGCCCCGTTCGTCTCTCAGTTAGCAATTGCTGAGGTCGAGGTCAGAAGAGCAAGCGTCGCAGGAAGAATTCGAGTTTGTTAGGACAGTAGGCAAAGCCCTCTGTCCACTCAAGTCTCAAGAGCAGCGAAGCAGCATTCGCATCGAGCGTCATGCTGCACAAGATGTTGAGCGCCACATTGGTGCTATTGGCCGTTTTGGCAACGGTGTCCATCACTCCAGCCACAGCGCAAAGTAAGTGATCCCATATACGGTTGAAGCTGTTGTGCCTATAACGTTACTGCTAAGTAGTCTATTATGATGATGATGATGATGTGCTTGAATCCATTGTGGCAGTAATTAGTAAACTGTAAGTACGTTTCTATGTCACATGACAAGAAGAGAATTGCCGAGGGGGAATGATGAGGTCATGCTCTGTCCTTTGAAAGTTCCATTGGTTTCGAACTGCTTACCGAGATGTGATACACTGTGCAGATGGTCAAAATAGAAGATCAATTTCCGGCGAGTCTCCCACTTAGCCTCCCTGTTGACAGCTCGCAAAAATGCTCTCCTAAACCACTTGCGAACCAGGTGTACTCTTCAGCCTTTCAAGGGATGGTAGAGTGCCGCAATGTTCTCTCTGCTGTGGAAGGGAAAACCCCCGATAGTTCCACAGGTACAATGTACATAGTGTAGTGGGGGCATGCAGCGGTGGGCCACTTCCGTTTTTATTATGCCTGAGAGCGTAGCCCATCAACACCTTTCTCCTGCAAGCATTTGACTGACATTGAGACTGGACTGTTGTCAATTCGGAAGAATGACAAGAGAAAAGCGTTCAGTTGAGGGACCCGGAACCACAGACCTTTCATTGGCGTTTCACCGCACCCGAATTTGGCACTGTCGGCAGAGACAAGCCCACGCCGATTATTGTGTATTCTATAGCTCTGCGAATTGCAGCTCATGTTTCTATATCTGGCACTCGGTACTTTACTGGCTTGCGATTCGGCCAAAAGGGTAGAGCTATTTGGGACCAGTAATCGGCAATTGATGCACACCGTCCTGCGAGCCGTGCCATATCTATGTTGACCTGTGCGCCTGCCCTTTTGAAGAATCCCCCCTCCGCATACACAAGCAGCGAGTACACACACAGATACACAAGCACACACACACACACGCACAGATACACCAGAAGTTGTTTGCGTCCCCTGCGTACACAAGCAGAGAGCCGAAATACCCCTCACCGCGTATACTGCAATACCACAGGTGTGAACAGACGCAAAGCAGTTTATGCTTACCACCGTGCATTCCAATCTACTCAGAAATAGGTTCTCCTGTGTAATCAGAAATAGGAAAAGTTTGCTAAGAAAACGGTAGTTTGTCGCTTGCTGCTGAGCAGAAATGCCATGTACAACTCGATATGCGATCGCCAATGGGGGGGGGGGGGGGGGGGGAAGCCGACTCTACTTCTCCGGGTATTGTAATGTAGCTACATGTACATGTACACGTCGCTACACTGCCAACTAACTTGTTCTGGCTAGTACTAGCTAGTAGTAGTGTAGTGAGTGATACACTAACAAGTAACAGCAAAGTGCTGCTGTACTAGTACTGGCAATACACAGCAGCGTGTGTCTGCCTCCTCCCTATCTCAGTATCTGTCCTTGGATTATACCTCCTAACTAACTTGTAACACCAGAGCAAAGGTCTTATCCACTGGGTGTGGGCGCACCGCCGATGACCTTTTGCCTTAGCAGCTTCCGCGCCGCCGACGTCTGTCATCGGTTATTCAGTCGCACAGTTGTTCAAGCCATGCAATCAGTCAATAATTACATGATGAAACTGATATGGAGGATGTTCAGTGACGTGCATGGTCATTAGGTCAATGTATGTGTAGTTATTTGAATCTGGTAGCTTACCAGTAACTTGCAACTGTAGTAAAGCCTCTTGGATGGGCAAAATAATTTCTAGTTGCTTACATGGAGGCGGAACCCAGTGATGTGCGCATTATATATTGCCACAATGCGAGCAACTCGATCCCTGAATACACAGGGTTATACTGAACTACGCGAGACCATGCACTAGAGAGTGATGTCGAATCTAGCATGGGGCAGACTGAGATCTGAATGAGCTTGTGTGATATATTCACCATCACGGTGTCGCATTAGACACCATACTGATTGAGAGAGCCCACATGTCTTGGGGACTTGTTTGTGCAAAACACTGTTTCTCCAGTAGATATTCCCCAAACTGCGGGAGCATAGAAATACATCTTGAGCAATTATTGAAATTCGATTTGCGCACCAGTTAGGCACGATTGCCCGGAGAGCACTCAAATCACGAATTTGAGAATCTGTTCACGCATAGCCTGATCAAGACTCCACCGGCTAGCTACAAGTATGTACTGAGTGCGCTAGTGAGCTTGTGACACCGGGAACAGGCGCGATGTCTGTGCATGTCCCGCAGCGGAAACCACGATGTCTGGTGTTGCTTGTCGCTTTGACGGGGCCGGGGCTATATATAATATAGCGCAATCAGCTTGCCAGACCGGTTGGGAAGCGGGTGCAGCAGAGGGGCCTGACAAGTGACATTCAGTGTTATCTTATGCCTCGTCCCCAGTCCCCACCATTATAGAACCAATCATGCCGATGCTTGTTACTTGTTACTGTTAGATAATATTGGACAACAGCGAGGGACTGCTGGTGGTGTATTCAATGCACATACATCTAGACTATAGCATTACCGCCTTTTAGGCATGCATGAGAGAATGGGCATCACTTGTTTACCATGTTTACACCCCAAACACAGCTCATCTAAGAGTTAGTAGCTATCCTCGAACCCAGGCCAGGTAAAAAGAACGAGCACTGGTATCGTGCTCGTCTGGTACTCGTACTTGCACGGAACTTCGAAATAATTGTGAAACTGAAATGTCTCCGAGTCATGTGTGTGGATGCGTGCTGCCCAGGCTGCAGTGAAGAGCCAGGCTAGCTAGCGGCTGGGTGTACTGCACTGCCACTGTACTGGGATCATGGGAGGGTTCCACGAGTAGCAGAAAAAACCCGACTAAACATCTCTCGTGTTTGCTGCACATGTTTGTTTGTGTTCTGGCTGCAGCTCGTCCCAGGTCTCTGATGTGGGACTGCTTCAAGGACTCTGGTTTCCTATCGTCCGTCCTCCAGTATGAAGACATCGCCACGTCGCTGCTCATGCAGCGCAACAAGACTGCTCGCCAGGCACCGCCCTGCATCCAGGCCTGCTCGGCCAAGGGCTTCGAGTTCGCCGGAATCCGCAACAACACCCAGTGCTGGTGCGGTATGAACGTCACTGCCGACACCAGGCAGGCCGTCAAGTGCCTGTACTGCCCCGGGGACAGTCGCTACAGATGCGGAAGCACCAACCAGATCGCCGTCTACCAGACTCCACGAGGTAAGTGCAGATCAACGGCCGGGAACACAAGTCGTGCACGCACGCACGCTTCTTTTCGTAACGCCAGCCACGAAACGACACAATGAAGGAAGAGAAATTGGGACGGAAATCCTCAATGTGATGGGATCTCAGCTCATCATCTTGCATTATTATTGAAGGGTTGAGGGGCAGTGTTGTGCTAAGTTCTGACGATGAACATACACGTAGAATTACATGACCGTTGTACACTGACTCTGTATTGGAAGTCCTGCGTGTACGTGTGACTATCCTTCTTCATACATTTTGACCTGCATCACGAGAGTGCAAGCCAGGAAGTCACTCAGCTAGTAGTATTTCACCTCGAGCCACACAAACTGTGCCCCTCTGCTAGACCAAGCTGATATCAGCTGAACAGTCACCTTGGTGGGGGGTGATGTGAACCCCCACACTGTACATTAGTGTTTTCACACACATGTGCTTGACTATGAGGCCACACACATCAATGCTGTACATACTTGTCAAGCAGCCCAGCGCTATACAGACATGTGGTTGTCAAGTAACTAACCCAATGCCTGGCATGTACACGTATTCTCGAGCAGCAGGGGTTTACGTTTTCAAGCACGTCTGAACGCTAACGTATCACGCAGCCGCGCTTAGCATTGGCTAGGCGCACGCGTCCGGATTAACGTCATCCAGTACGCGCCGTACTCTCATTGACTTGGATGTATTGTTTGTGTGATGTTGTTGCTGTACATACAGTGCCACCTCCCCCCTTCAAATACGTGCGTTGTCTGCTATACAAGACCAAGGCGGAGCGCAGCATGATGAAGGGCGTGATGAGAGAGTATAGCTACATGAGCTACCGCGCCACCAACTACCGACAGATGACCAGCTGCGTGCAGGCGTGCTCGGCGCGCGGCTACCGGTACGCGGGAATCACCTACAAGTTCTGGTGCCACTGCGGCAACACGCTGCGCAAGAACCGCAACGGCGCCTGCCCCAAGTGCCAGGGAGACCGTCGCCAGTACTGCGGTTCCGAGTCCACCATGTCCATCTACGAAATCAGGAACGGTAAGAACCACTTTTGTTTGTTTTGTTTGTTGTTGTTGATCTATTGTAGTTCGTTGCCTCAACAGTGCAATGTACAGCTTCAAAGAGGGTCGAACAGAAAACAGAATGACTGAGGGTCATCAGACAGGCAGTGAGAATATATTGGTCGCTACTCACTATGCCGGGTAGTATACACACTATGAGTATGTCTTGCACTTTGCATTCATCAAGCCCGTGGGCCATGCATATACATGTGGGGCAGAATTCTGTTGTTGCTATGGCCATAGTCTCACCCAAACGGCTCTTTGTGTTGTCCTTCTCTCTCTCTCTGTCACGACGTGTGTTCGACCTGTCCAGTGTTCCCGCGTGCCAGCGTGTGCGGCGGCAACAACAAGTCTGTGGCCGTCAACGGATCCATCTCGCTGCACTGTGACTCGCCCGGCAGCAACATCGAGTTCTCCTGGGAGAAGGTCGACCGCTTTGGACGCACCGTGCCACTCGATCGCTTCCGCATGCACCTATCGCCGTCCGGCAGGACCCTGGTCATCCAGAACGCTTCGTACTCGGATGCCGGCAAGTTCCAGTGCAGGGCTCGCAACGATCACATCGTGGATGCCCGCCAGAGATCCAGCATTGCCATCGCCAACCTTCAAGTGATCAGTGAGTGCACCGCCGCCGCTTAAGCATGCTGCATTCAGACAAGCTAGAGAGAGTGCATGCACATGACATCATTCCACTATGCAATGACATCATGCTGCTCACCTGTCACATGACCACGGGTCAAGTAATACATGATCACATGACATACAATCCAGGGTCACATGGTGCACGGTCACATGATCGACGGCGGGGCGTGTGACCACTGTGCACAGAACCTTGGGCTAGACGTATTCACGCCGCCTTAGAATATACCATGAGAGGAAATTTCAATGTGATGTTGCTGCTGCTGCTAGTGCGGCTACTGTTGTTGTCGGTGTAGCTGTTGCTAATGCGGCTACTGTTGTTCTTGTTGTTGTTGTTGTTGTGTTCCCTTACTGCACCACCACGCTGTACAGAACCAGTGATGATTTCCATGCGCCAAGACCGCGCGGCCATCGACAACCAGCAGGCCAAGCTGACGTGCGAGGTGATTGGCGCCGGCCCGCTGTCGCCCTTCTCCGTCCAGTGGCTGTTCAACGGGCGACCGCTGGGGCCATTCTCGTCGCAGCTGCCCGCCTCTCACCAGATCCACGTCAACCCTGCCGTGCACAACAACAACCAGCAGTTCAACAACCAGCAGTTCACCAACCAGCGGGGTGTGCCGCAGCCAGGCAGCAGAGTCAACACCAAGAGCAGGACCAACACCAACCTCAGGAACATACAGGCGAGAAACCGGGCCATCCTCAACAGCAGGAAAACGCAGCAGGCAAAACTCCTCCAGGCCAGGAAAGCGCAGCAAGCAAAACTCCGCAATGCGCAGCAGGCAAGGCTCCGTAATACGCAGCAGGCAAGACTCCGTAATGCGCAGCAGGCAAGACTCCGCAATGCGCAGCAGGCAAGATACAACACTAACAACAGGAACGTACAGCAGCCCGCCTACCAGAACAACATGAATGTCCAGCAGCCGTACGGAAACACGCAGAACAACAGGAATATGCAGCAGCCGTACGGAAACACGCAGAACAGGAATATGCAGCAGCCGTACGGAAACATGCAAAACAACAGGAATATGCGTCCCAACACTGGCAGGACCGGATACACAAACGCTCGCAACAACGCCATGATGCCGAGGGGAGCGCAGATGCTGGGTCAGACCAACGACTATACATTCATGCAACAAGGTACGTACCCGATCTGTGTTCCTGTGTTCTCGACGAGAACACCCTTTGCCTTTCTCCCTCTGCCCTTTGCAAAACAACACTGCTTTGCCCCCGTGCTCCCACCCTGTAGTATTCTCGCCAGGAGAAGCACCATTGTTGTCACCACCTCCACTGTTTGTTCTTCTTGAATGCAATAACAGTACCCTGTGTGAAGTGAACATGAGTACTAGCATGAACACTAGCATGAACACTAGCATGAACACTGGTGACTGCTGATTCTGAGCATATCAAGAGTGTGTGAAAGTTAGACGACGTTTTGCACATGCCCTTGCTCTTCTCGTGTTGGCAGGCAACGCTCACGTGCTGGTCCTGCGCCGCATCCAGTTCCGTCACTTTGGCAACTACACGTGCCGCGTCTTCAACCCGGCGGCAACCACCGACGACCTGCGCGTCCTGCAACATGAGTTCAGTCTGCGTCGCCGCGGACAACGTAAGTCATTTTTCATTTACTTCAATAACACCGCCCCACCTGGAAACTGGGAAAACGGGAGAGCATGAAAAGGACAATAGGGGGACGATGGGAAGGTGGGTGCTAGAGAGTAGCCGTGATGCCGAGTCTGGAGGCACTCCAATTGACCATTGGTCTCAGCATCAGCATGCCGCGAGACGTGATGCGCAAAGAACTCAGTCGTGGTCTGGGGCCTTCTGGCGGCGTTATGTGACCGCCATCTGAAACTGCCAGGAATTCTGTGATTGTAGTGGAAGGCGTGGAAACAATGGAGCACAATGTATGTGTTAGGCCATTCAACAACTGGACCAGATCTTGAACAGGGAGACATGCACAGTTGAGCACAAAGCCAATAGGGAGTACAGCAGTGAGGCAGCCCACGCCAAAGTAGTGAGATTGAGCACCGCTCTATAGAGCTGAATGCTATGATTATAATAATGAATCAGTGGACGGACCTTCACCTTGAATGATCACTGCCACCATGTACGGCAAATCTCCTGCACTGGCCTCGGAGCCAAGAATATCACTCGCGGCGCCATGGTCCAAACTAATCGTTTCTGCACGTGTGTATGTGTGTGTGTGTGGTGTTTTTCTTCCCTGCTCTCAGCCCTTCACTCGATCCCAACGCAGTTCCCGTACACGTCCTACTCACGGGGTCAGACCTGTCAGCTCAAGAACGGTCCAGGCATCTTCAAGGACGGTGCCCTCGTCGTGGCCGTCCTCATGTCGGTGATCAACGCCTTCCTGCTGCTCGTGCTCGTCTTCGTGGGATACCGCTGGATGAAGTCCAACAGCGACAGTGGCGACAAGCAGCCGAAAAACTTGAACACTCAGGTACGCACGTCAAATTCAGTTCTGAGCTCACCTTGTGAGATTGATATGTGGACACCAATACTTAGTTTGATAGGCCAAGAGAGGAGAATGAGCCGAAGTCCCAAAGCACATACTCGAAGTACGCACACACTTTTGGGAGATTTCTGAGAGTTTTCAGGCTAGAAGGCTCGATTTCAATAGAAGTGCCTGCTGTCTTTATCTTGAATCGTTGAGTTGAGTTATTGCATTTCGGTATCCAAAAGTCTCGTTCTCCACGGCATAAAATGCTGCCCTTCACAGCCGAGAAAGTACTGTTGAATCTATAATTATTTCTCAGCAATCATCTCAGGTAGTGTTTAGCTATACACCCTGGGTGTTCTGTGCTTTCTCTCACGACCACACCAATACTGCTGCTCATGCTGCTGCTGCCTATGATGATGATGATGATGTCGCCCCGGCGATGTACATGATCAGGCGCCGGCTTATCGTTACAGAGACATTGCTGGCTAGGTGCACTACCCACACACAGCACACAGCATCGCACAGCACACCGTACAACATCACATCACTGTAGGAATTGGCAACGATCTCGCTAAGACGTGTTCTTGGTTTTCTGTTAGGATAGTGATTGGACGATGCCTGGTAGTCCCAAGGGCGGCGGTAAATCATCCAAGTCGTATCGACTCTACTTCGGCGGGGCCAACCCAGGCGCAGAGCAGACACCACCAAATGAAGATTCGCTAGACCCGGCAGCGCGCACTGGAAGTGATGCACCAAGTACTGGATTTTAGTCGCCTACCCTTGTCTCCATATCTCACAACTCTTCCTCTCATTTGTCCTCTTCTTGCTGCTGCTGCGCTGTCTATCTGTGAACACTTTACACGTATGCCCTGTGCAATGATCATGCATTCTGATAACTGATGAGTATTATTGTTATGTCCTCGCCATATTCCTGGCCACATTCATTATGATGTTTGTGCATAGAACTCACGCTATTTCTGAGATTGTCACTATTTTCAAGGCTAAAAAACAAAGTATACAACAAGGAATGATTTTGGTCCGAAGTGCGAGACCTTACCTTATCCTGCTGTGCGATCTAGCCTCTGCCAGCCTGTAACAGAGATAGGTGATTTACACTCTGGACTTTAACATTTCCCTACGCTCTATTCCGTAATATATCAGCGAATGCCGTACTAGTATTCCGTTATTAATCTCTATGAATATTTCTACACTATGGCCTGCACCTGGAGATAGAAGGTCAGGTTACATAATTTTAAAATATGCCTTTATCATGTTGATCTGCAGTGCTGAGTTTTATGACGAGCAGGTTGCTAGAAAGATGACAGTCTTTACATCGATACAAGCTGGTGTTTTGGGATTCTGAGTGATCAGTGCTGTGTACGCGAGCGCATCTGTACATGTAGGTGGGTGTTTGTGAGAGAGAGAGAGAGAGAGAGAGAGAGAGAGAGAGAGAGAGAGAGAGAGAGAGAGAGAGAGAGAGAGAGAGAGAGAGAGAGAGAGAGAGAGAGACAGACAGACAGACAGACAGACAGAGCAAGAGAGACAGACAGACAGACAGAGCAAGAGAGACAGACAGACAGACAGACAGACAGAGCAAGAGAGACAGACAGACAGACAGACAGACAGACAGAGCAAGAGAGACAGACAGACAGACAGACAGACAGAGCAAGAGAGACAGACAGACAGACAGACAGACAGACAAACAGACAGACAGAGCAAGAGAGATAGACAGACAGAGCAAGAGAGACAGACAGACAGACAGACAGAGCAAGAGAGACAGACAGACAGACAGAGCAAGAGAGAGAGACAGAGAGACAGACAGACAGAGCAAGAGTTACAGACAGACAGACAGACAGAGCAAGAGAGAGAGACAGAGGGACAGACAGATAGATAGAGAGACAGACAGGCAGACAGACATACAGACAGACAGAGGGAAAGAGAGGGACACACACAGATAAAGAGACAGACAGATGGATAGAAACAGACAGACGGACACAGAGAGAGACGAGAGAAGAAAGAGAGAGAGAGAAGAGAGAGTGTGTGTGTGTGTGAGAGAGAGAGAGAGAGAGAGAGAGAGAGAGAGAGAGAGAGAGAGAGAGAGAGAGAGAGAGAGAGAGAGAGAGAGAGAGAGAGAGAGAGAGAGAGAGAGAGAGAGAGAGAGAGAGAGACAGACAGACAGAGACAGAGAGAGAGAGAGAGAGAGAGAGAGAGAGAGAGAGAGAGAGAGAGAGAGAGAGAGAGAGAGAGAGAGAGAGAGAGAGAGAGAGAGAGAGAGAGAGAGAGAGAGAGAGAGAGAGAGAGACAGACAGAGACAGACAGGCAGAGACAGAGACGGAAAGAGAGACAGAAAGAAAGAGCCGGAGGGAGGGAGAGAGAGGGGAAGAGTGAGACATGCACACCGAGGGGGAGAGAGGGGAAGAGTGAGACATGCACACCAAGGGAGAGAGAGGGGGGGGGCGGGTGTTGTGCAAGAGAAATTTAATAGGAAAAATTAGAATCCGGTCTCAATGCTTACTTGCTCAGCAAAGTCATGTCAACCAGGCAGTGGTTTACGAATTGCTCACTGATTGTAACAAGCTGTGTGTGGTGAAATACCAGGCTTAAACTTGTTGGATCAATTCATCAACTTGTATTTCAGGTGGTTTGTTGAATACTTATGTGTAAACTGCAGCTTAAATTACGTTAAATTGCGTTGTACGAGTTTATCCCAAATTCGGCGAAGAATAATAGTTATTGTCATACTTGGAAACAATGCTGTGCAGTTCGCAGCCATTTCTCTTTAGACTTTCATCCACTGTAAACAGTAAATTGGTTTCAATGTTTAGTCGTCAATGCTTCACAATATTTCAGGCCGCCAGCAGCAGGGAGCGCAGCCGACAAAGAGGTCAGGTTGATCTAAGACATTCTTCGGTCAATTCCTGAAAAGTCCCTTAGCTACAACCCTGAGGAAAGACAATTGGGGAGAAAACGAATGCATGCATGCCATGCATGCCACATGTGCCTGACAGTGCTGCATGTATATCAGATTCTACTCCTTGAAGTGAAGTGTCTTGTGCCTGTAGGCATGGCCAACCAGTGAAGGGTTCTTGGACAGTACGCCAAAAACCCATTTCGGAGAGCGACATTTCAGTGCCCTCGACTGGTTGAAAACCGTGTCGACACTTCGACGGCACTTTGGGGGAGGGGATTTGCTATTTCCTGTCTACACGGTAGCTGATGCCGACATGAATCCTTGACATAAAGTGTTATACATAATACCAAGAGTAGATAAACAAGAGTGTGCAACTCCGGATGGATTGGCCCACGGCGGAATTTTTTGTTGACGTAATCTTTTCGACGACGCACGCGCTGCGAGCCTTTTGGAGAGTTTTCCCTCGTGCACTTGGCTGGGCTTTACACTACAAGGTCGGTGCCCAGCACGTGCTCTCACACTGCTCTGCGGCAAAGCCGCGTTTCTCTGAAAAAAGGTGACGTAAACAAAAAATTCCGCCGTGGGCGCGGGGTATCTGCAGATTGTGCAGGAGAGATCCGGAGTTGCACACTCTTGTTTATCTACTCTTGATAATACATCTACAGTAATTGCCGATTAGTGATAGTTGGGGGCTCGAACTCTGAAGTTGTGGACTGGTGGTAATATTGTCGTTTTGAAAGAGCGGCCCAAATTCAGACCTGCATGCATTACTGATTTCCCAGCATCCCCATACCCGCAGAACTGCTGAAATAAGAGAAAACGACGTAGTCCATCCACATGCCATGTCATGGACGAGGACCACCTGAGCCCGCCTCTCTGCCGTTTTCGTGCACCGGTGTGGGTGCCACGCGTGCCACCTAGTACTACCACCAGGTTTGCTGGTGCGGGCGGAACATTGTGGACTGCATTTCAGGCTCCGCGCACCGTTCACTTGTCGACTGTGTTCAGTGCCGAGAAAATCAAGTGGTGGAACCGCACATGAGTTGACCACCTCGACCTGGCTAGCGACGAAAATGTCACTCGTCTCTTTGACCGTTCACCCAGTACTGCAGTCTTGTCGTAGGCATGAAATCGGAGTAGTAGCCTGGTGCAGATTGGGTGAATTCTATCTTCCAAGCTGTCTCGGCGGCTTAATGGGAGCGATGAGGCATGCTCGCGAACTAATGAGAAGAAAGCAGAATCCTGTTCAGCTGAGTCCGAGCCAAGTACATTGTGCATGTACAGTCATGTACATGTTTTTTGAAGCTACAGGTAAGCCTACGGTAACGAGCCATGCTTCGCTGAGCCATTATTGAAGAGAATCTGATGATGAACCCATGTTATGTTGAGTAGGAGGAGAAAATGATTAGTATGGCCAAGAGTACACTCCCCCTCATGGTATGGGTAAAAAAAATTAAGAACCCAAATAGGCGATTCGGACTGTAACCAAAATCACGTCTGAACTTGAATTTCCATGGTGACGCAGTCGTGCGTTTCAAATGATTATGCACAATAGGGCTTGAAAGTGCTACGTCACAGCATAGCAACAATTTCAAAAATTCAAAAACTGGATCCACCTGGATCCAGTTTTTGTATGGATCCAAGCACATTTCAAGCGGTCTTACCCACAGCATGGTGATGTAGCCAGTGAAACTGACTGATTTGGCTACTGGGGGTGGGGTTACAACTGGTGGCGAAATAAAAGTCACACCTGCATGCGACATGAGTGGGTTGTTATGCACCCACATACTTAGGCAATAGCAAAGTCACACCTTAGTGGATCCAAAAATAGAAATCTGATGTCAACTTACTACTCCCTGGCCGTTTTGACGTCATCACTTTCAAGCCCTATTGCTGATCAAACACGTCTGAGTCGTAGAAACGTTACGTGGTCACAGTTGGCCGTAGCCTACTACAGTAAAACCTGGTTTAATTAAGCGACCACCCCACGGTGCAAGCAAAAGCGGTCGTTAAAGCCAGGTAGTCTTTAGAACCAGGTCCAACAGTGTCTGTGTAGAACTGTCGGTGCATGGAAAAACGGTCGTTAAGAGCAGGTGGTCGCTAAACCCAGAGGTCGCTTACACCAGGTTTTACTGTATGTAACTTGTTACTCTTGGTATGGCCACGTCAATGCTGACCGCAATACTGGACGCAGAGCACTTGCTGGGCTGGCCAAACTCAAAGCCTTCTTAGTTCAATGAGGTCGGCACCGTGTCGGTGAGGAGCGGTGCAGTCTAGAACAGTGCTCCTGTGTCCTCCGCCCTGTTACACCCGGCATGGTGCCTAGATCTTCTGACCGTTCAGACATGACTTGTACTAACGTAACTAGTACTCCGTTGAACAGGTAGCACTCTGCTCCAGCACCTACCATGATTCAGGATGATGCAGGAGTCTGCACAGATTCCTTGTGTTGTGACCTGCCCAAGCCTGTGCCCGAAGCGACTTTCTTGTAAGCTGAAGCTTGACAACGAAACAAAACCCAAGCCACCCTGCCTAACATCGTGATTGCACTGATAAAGCAGCACACAGAGCAGCGAATTTGCGAAGGACTTCAACAATGACGATCATGTCGTCGTGATGACATAACATTGCCATTGTGTCATTTTGCAGTGTATGACTCAAGCGCCCAGTCAGCTGCCTAAAAAATAACAATAGAATATTGTAACATGGAAAAATGTGGGCACAAGTTACGCGATCGAGTCCACCAACTAAACCAGATTTTGAACAGTCAGACGTGCACAATCTAGCACAAAACTGACTAGGAGTGCTGAGACATCGTATCCCACGGCATGAAAGACAGCTTGTGCCCACATTTTTCCATGTTACAATGTTTTGTTGAACCACGCATTTTCGCCCTTGCAATGAAGTCTTACTCTTTTTTTAGTCTTAGTTGCCTGTAGTGTAGACCTACAATGCATGACTTGTAATACTAGTATGGGGCATGCTCCGGCGATCATGTATTACATTGTACATGGATGTGATGTCAGGGCCTAGCCTGGCTTGGGACACCAAACCAGGGAATTGTGAAAACCCGACACCCTGAGCTGCCGCAAACAATAATGACTGTAACCGTACATTTATCATAATCGCCGGAGCATGCGCCATGCAGGCTACTACTACTAGTAGAATCTACTCCATTGCAAAGGCGAAATCCATGATTCAAGTCGCACATCGCGATATCGGCTCACGGACACGGGAACTGTAGTCAGTGTAGAGCACAATGGCCACTGCAGCCGTTCCGCGGCGTGGAGCAAAGTGCTGCGTATTCTGTTATATCGAAAATCCAAGGGAAGGCAGATATCTGAATTGTCTTCACGTTATTTGCGTGAGCTGCGTGCGGGAGCACATCACACCTGAAGGCAGTATCGAGTGTGCAGTTTGCAAGGTAGAAA